CCCCCCACCCTCCAGTTAACTAGTTACCGGGTGAGGACGTGGGTAACCTCGCCCATCCCTGGCTCCGGTGCAAGATGCGCAATGCACGCGACGCTGCGCAGCGCACTTCAGGGAGCACTGGGGCTGAAAAATCCTGGGGCCTTAAAAAAGGTGCAGGACGAGCAGGGCTCCAGTGCCCGAAACGCCGGAGAAGCGAGGGCCATCGGCAAACATCGCGCCCTTGGCTCCGGTTCCCCTGGGAACTCCCGCTCAGGCGCTTTGGGGGCTTCCCCGGCAGCTGTGAGGGGGCGGGGGGAGGAGAAACATACTTTTGCATTTGCCTTGGTACATCACTTCCAGGTCAGGGTGGTCCCGGCACTTGGCGGTCAGCAGCTCGCACTCGTCGCGGTAGGTGTAGCCGTCTGAGCCGCACACCTGCAGCTTCTTGGGCAGGCTGGAGCAGTCCGGGGCGCAGGTGCAGTGGGGGCGGCCATGTTTCATCCTGCAGACCTTGCCAGGCCCGCACTGCACCCCCTCACAGGTCTCTGGGGAGAGGAGAGGAGAGAGGAGTTACCCCTCGGTTTGCACCGTCCCTCTGCAACGTGAGCCGAGGCCACGGCCCAGGAGCAGACCAAGAACCAGCCTGGTTCAAATCTGGCCCCCCATCCTCCCGGGGAAAAGCAAGGCTGAGGGAACCCCCCATCGCCCAGGGGATCGGAATCCAGGCTCCCCCACGGCACCTCCTGATAGGTTGCCATGGGATAAGCGGGAAGGTCCTTTCGTGGACCGACAACTGGTTAAAAGACAGGGAACAAAGGGGAGGAAGAAATGGTCAGTTTTCCGAGTGGAGAGAGGTAACTAATGGGGTTCCCCAAGGATCCGTCCTGGGATCCGTCCTATTCAACTTATTTAGAAATGGTCAGGATAAGGGGGAAACAGTGAGGAGGCAAAACGGCAGATGATCCCAAACTGCTCAGATAGTTCAGACCAAAGCAGACTGTGACGAGCTTCGAAAGGTCTCACCCAGCTAAGTGACTGGGCAACAAAATGGCAAATGAAATGGAATGTGGATAAATGTAACATGCTGCACCTTGGAAAAATAACCCAACTACACAAACAATACGACGGGGACTAATTTAGTTACAACGGCTCAAGAGAGGGATCTTGGAGTCGTTGTGGGTAGTTCTCCAAAAACATCCACGCAGTGCGCAGCGGCAGGCAAGAAAGCAAACAGTGTTGGGAATCATTAAGGGGATAGAGAATAGTCTTATTGCTTCTGTATAAAACCATGGGACGCCCACATCTGGAATACTGCGGACAGAAGTGGTAACCTCATCTCAAAAACAGTTATATTGGCATTGGAAAAGGTTCAGAAAAGGGCAACAAAAATGCTGAGGGGTTTGGAACGGGTCCCATATGAAGAGAGATTGGACTTTTCAACTTAGAAAAGAGATTAAGGGGGGAGAGGATCGAGGTCTATACAATCAGGAGTGGTGTGGAGAAAGTGAATAAGGAAAAGTTATTGACTTGTTCCCACAATAGAAGAACTAGGGATCATCAAATGAAATGAACAGGCAGCAGGCTTAAAACAAACAAAAAGAAGTTTTTCTTCACTCAGTGCACAGTGAAGCTGTGGAACTCCTCGCCGGAGGATGAGGTGAAGACCAGGTCTTTAACGGGTTCAAAGAAGAGCTAGCTAGATTCATGGAGGTTAGGCCCATCAATGGCTACTAGCCAGGATGGGGAACTAGGGATCATCAAATGAAATGAACAGGCAGCAGGCTTAAAACAAACAAAAAGAAGTTTTTCTTCACTCAGTGCACAGTGAAGCTGTGGAACTCCTCGCCGGAGGATGAGGTGAAGACCAGGTCTTTAACGGGTTCAAAGAAGAGCTAGCTAGATTCATGGAGGTTAGGCCCATCAATGGCTACTAGCCAGGATGGGGAGGGAGAGCGTCCCTAGCCTCAGTTTGTCAGAGGCTGGGAATGGGCGACAGGGGAGGGCTCACTGGACGGTTCCCTGCTCTGTTCACTCCCTCTTGATCATTACCTGTTCTGTTCACTCCCTCTGGGGCACCTGGCATTGGCCACTGTCGGCAGACAGGAGACTGGGCAGCTTGGACCTTTGGCCTGACCCCGTCTGGCCGCTCTTATGAGAGAGGATGGCACGCAGCAGGGCCACTGTGACACCACCGGGGGGGCGCTCAGACCACACGGTGTCAGTCCTGGGTGGGGTCCCACCAGCGACGCCTCTTGCGGAGGTCCTGTGTCCTGGCCCTGCCAGCAGCCCCAAA